ATAAGAAATGGAAGATAATATAATTAAAAAAAAATTAACAAAAAACAAAAATAAGTAGAAAAAAAGTATTACTATAAAAAAAATAGTCTAGAATATAATATACTAATATATTAAAGTAGAAAATACAGTAAAAAGTAATTTTAAAATATAGCGGAATTAATTAAAATATATATAGATAGATCTGGTTGTTTAATTAAATAACTAAAATAGATTTTTATTATTTTAAGTAACTAGGGCAGGGCTCTATAGATTAAATAACCTACAAGTAAAAGCAGAATAAAAAGATTTTAAAAAGCAGAAATATACAGCAACCAGTAGAACTATAAATTTAAAATATAAAAAAAAATTAATAGTATTAAAATAGAGAATCTATAACAGCTAAAAGAGTAAATAAATATAAAAAGGCAAAAAACAGTAGTATTTTTTAAAAGTATATAGAATATATATTTAAATAGCCAAAAAAAATATGCTACTATATATAAGTATTAATATAAATAAAAAAACCAATATTTATATAATTAATTAAAATAATTAAGTTAAAAAAAGTTTAAAAGAATAAAAATATCGACTGTAGAAAGTTCTGCTATACAGGCAGTATAAAAAGTAGAGAGAATAGATAAAACAGCAGAATATTACCTATAGTAAATATTAGAACAGTTTGTACATCATATAAAATATCTAATATATAAAAAATCTGTATTTCTTGTCTAATAAAAAGAATATCTATATATAATATTATTTTTAATAAAGATTTTAATTATAAATAAACTTTTAAATTAAAAAGTATAATAACAGCTTAACAACTTATTTAGTTAATTAATACTATTTAAATTAAATAATGAGATATTAAATTATTTAATATTAAATAAGTCTACTTAAATAACTCAGAAACTAAAGATTCTGCTGATTCCCAGTTATATAACCTATATATATTGTATAATTAAAAAAAATAAGTTAAAAATAAAAAAAGATTATTTTAGTTATATAACCTTACAAAGCCTTTGAAAAATCTAGTTTTTAAAAACTTCTTTTTTATATTAAATAATTTACTAATTTTTTACTATTAAAAGTTCTTATTAAAAATTCTGCTATTGATTTTAAAAGTATTAAAAAAATAATTTTTTTAGTATTAAACTAATTAAAGGCCTCAAATACTACTGATTTAAATTATCTAATTAAAATAACTATTCTAAAATAAAACTAGTCTTATAAATAAGCTAAATAATAATTATCTATATTAAGAAAAAATTTTATATCAATAAATCTCAGCTGCCGCCATCTTCTACTAACTAAGAAAAATAATAAATTATTTCTATTTATTTTAGTTTATTTAAGCTTTAAAGGCTAAATTTCATTAATTAAAAATTATAAATACCTGAATTATATATTTAATATATGATATATTTAATATATAATATATTTAATAAAAAGATTCTTTTACTAAAATAAATTTAAATTTCTAAGTTTAATAAATAAAGGTTACTTAAAAGGCTTAAAATCTAGATTTATATATAGAGTAATTTATAGATATTTAATTAGTTAAAAATATATACTAGTATACTTATAACTAAATTCTTAAAAATTATTTAAGTTTTAATTATTATATTTAATTTTGAAATATATTAATTAAATACAGTTACTGCCTTTTTTAATAGTTTTATTAAAAAAGGATTTATATAGGTCTACTTTTTAAATCAAAAAAAAAATAAATTGTTTACTAATTAAAAAAAGCCTTTATAGAAATTAAGATGTTTTCTACTATGACAGGCGCCTTGGCAGCCTGTTAGGTGACTAGCCACAGGTGCCTTAGGCACCTATGGTCCTACATATTTATTTATTTTAGAGTAAAGGCCCTACAGGCCTTTTTTTTTTTAAAAAAAAATAGATTTTTTGCCTAGTTTAATTATCTTTCTTTTACAGCCTTATACTAATTTTATTTCTTTTTATTAATTTTTTATTCTTTTTATTTCTTTCAATTTTTTTTATTAATAAGAATCTGTTTTTTTCTTAATTTAGATTCTAACTACTGCTGTTATTAATTACAGCTTTTAAAAAGCTTATTATTAATAAGCTTTTTATTACCTTATCTAAATAGTTTCTACTTTTTATTCCTATTTTTATACTTTATTAATTATTTCATTAATTTTTAATCTTATTGATTTTATTATATTTATTAATTTTATTAATTTTATTAATTTTATTAATTTTCTTAATTTTTTTAATTTTATTAATTTTATTAATTTTATTAATTTTATTAATTTTAT